GACTGTGCACCTACCCATCCAGCTGTCTTATTGTGAAGTTTTCAGATGATACAGCAGTGGTTGCATGCATCACAAGCAACGATGAGTTCCGCTACAGGCAGGAGGTGGAACACCTGGAGAGCTGGTTCAAGAAGAACAACCTTCACAGCAATGTGAAGATAACGAAGTAGATGGTCGTGGACTTCAGACGAAACAAATGATAAATGGCAAATGGACTGTACTTATATAGCGCTTTTCTATCTTATCAAGATATTCAAAGCACTTTACACTACAATCTAGTCCTCATTTAACCATTCATACAGCACTCTACTATATCTATACAAAGAATAATCAGTGCTATATCACATTCATACACCGATGTGACACACATCGGAGGCAATGAAGGGTTCAGTGTCTTGCCCAGGGACACTTTGGGATGTGACTGCTGGTGGAATCGAACCCCAAACACTTGCATTGTAGGTCAGCTGCTCTAACCACTCATCCACAGCCACCCAACTAACACACCACGCACACGTTTTGCCCCGCTTCCGTCAGGCAGAAAGTTGCATCAGAGTCAGAGAGTCAGAGTCAGAGGTTCTTTATTGTTGTTGTTTACGAAATTATGTACATAGGGTCCCAGTTACGTCCAACAATAAAATGTAAAAGAAAAACAGTAATAAGATCTAAGATATTGTAGTGAACTAGACCTCCGACATCAATCTGTCTCTGAAGACCTTCAGGGGACAGGAACTGTTATTTCAATTATTTGAATCCAGAAATAAAATTATCTCATCAAGAGACTATTTAATTGTATCCTTAATTAATCAATTGAAAGAACACTCTTCTTTTTTCATATTATCATTACTATTTTACAATATCTTGATAATCAAAAGTGTGTTTAGTTCATACCATTTCTAATGTTGAAGTAAACCACTCATTTAAATCAACTGTGAAACAGTATTAATGATTTTTAAACCTCATTAGACATAGATCATACAAGTTAAATGTCTATTTACGAATTAAGTGTGCATTTTAATCTTCTGTCTGAATGAGGAGTGGATTTAATGTCGGTCAAAAGTCAGAGACAAGTTATGAGAACGAAGTGCCTTGTTTTTAAAACTCTCAGACAGTAAATAAGAACCTGGCACCTGCAAAGTCTGTCATTTCTCCAAAATATTTTCCTGTCTGTACTAACTGTTCTTAAAACATTTCTGCTGTCTGTTGACTTCTAATAACCCTCTGACATCATTAAAACTCCACCCATGCTGGTTGTGTCAACCAATCAAGAAGTACCAAGTGACTTGAAGAGGATACCCTTTAAAAGTCAACACTTCTTGGAACTATTCAGTCTTTCAGTCTTTCCAGTCTTCCTGGAACTTTCAGCCTTACTGGAAGACTCGATCTTACTGGAGTCTTCCTGGAACTTTAAGTCTTATAAGTCTTACTGGAAGACTCAGTCTGATGGCGAGTCGTACAGGAACTTTCAGTTCTTACTGAAAGTCAGCTTTGGAGTATGGAATTGGACCATGTGCCAAGGGTCCGTCCATTCCAGCGGAGTCACAGCTTGCCTCGCTTTGACTCACCCCGAGCATTAAATGCTCTCAACTTCGAAGGAAGCTTATTCTGTTGAACGGAGTATATGGAACTACTTCGGAAGATTCTCAGCCACCCTGACCAGAGACGCTGAAAAGGTAGCGTGCCAATGGACCTCTGTTCCGGAGTTGATGTATCCTCTGCTCAGGTAAAGAGTCGTCACGAGTCGTCACGCACCGAGTGTACCGGAGGGCTGAGCTGGGATCGGAGGAAGGGTGCCATTTCTGGTCAACACATCTTCTTTCATCGATCTAAACCTCCTCTTTAAATCTTTAAACTTCTTTACTCCTTCTCTTTAAACTTCTATTCGCCAGTAAATCAAGTTAAGTGCCTTCAGAGATGAATTATTCTCCATCAGTAATCTTCTGTTGTCTTGTTTAGTAAATCTTGCTAAGTCTATTAATCAGAAACAGATCAGCAAATCAAGTGTACATGTTTTGATGTAAAATTTTGATTCTGTTAAATAAATGACCACATTTATTCTGATGGGTCAAAGATAAAATGGCGTGTCATGTCACTAATTATACACTCCACTCAAGTTATCTTGTTCACATGGCAGAAATTTAACTCGAAAAAGAAAGAATCCATTGTTAATTAAACAATTAATATTCTTTGTGCTTGAACTAGCCTTAAGAATAATTAATTAGTAGTGTGTCCACAGTTAAGCTGTCCCGACATCACTACAATATGAACAAAGAAAAAACATCAACTAAATATACACTAAACACTAATAGCATAAAAACAATAAACACAATACACCGAACAGCAGCATGAACATGACTCTTTGTGAGCAGATGAGCATGAATGAACACAGCACCATGAACTAGATCAGCAGCAAAATGATGTGATTCTTCACAGTGATTATCTTGGTTAGATAGTCATGAGTCTAACAGCCTCAGGGTAGAAGCTGTTCCTCAGTCTAGTGGTTCTACACCTAATGCTCCTCAACCTCCTTCCTGAGGGGAGTGGGGCAAAAAGTGTATGTGCTGGGTGAGTGGGGTCCTGCATGATGCAGGTGGCCCTCTTCCTGCATCTGGAGGTGTAGATGTCTGTGATGGTGGGGAGGCTGTCTCCAACAGACTTCTGTTTTGCCTTGACCACTCTCTGCAAAGCTTTTCTTTCTGCAGCTGTGCAGCCTCCATGCCACACGTTGATGCTGGAGCACAGGATGCTCTCCACTGCACACCTGTAGAAGGAGGTGAGGACTGAGCTTCCCAGTCCAGCTCGTCTCAGCTGCCTGAGGAAGTAGTCTCTGATGAGCTTTCTTGTTGTTGAGGAGCATTAAGGGCAAAACCACTAGACTGAGGAACAGCTTCTACCCTGAAGCTGTTATACTCATGAATCCCTAATCAGGATTATCACTGTGAAAAAAAAAATCACTGTACTGTCACTTGATTTTTGATATGGGCTGGTGACTAGCCATGATGCTGATCTCATGTTGCTGATTTATTTCATGCTGCTGTATTCATTCATACTCATCCGCTCACACAGACTCATGTTCATGCTGCTGTTGTTCAGCATATGTTTTTTGCACTATTAAGTGTTTATCAAATTCTTAGTTTAGCGTATTTCTTAGTTCATATCTTAAATCTTATTACTGTTTTTCTTTTACAATTTATACTTTTGTTGGATGTAAGAGGGGCCCTGTGATGGACTTGCAACCCGTTCAGGGTGTACCCCGCCCCTCGCACAGTGATTTCTGGACATGGGCATCGGCGACCCCCGTGACCCAAAAATGGAAGAAGCAGGTAAAAGATAATGGATAAAAGATAATGGCTGTATGGATGGATGTAAGAGGGACCCTTTGTACACATTTTCGTTCCACCACATGTACACATGTGATGCAAATGACAATAAAGAGACCTTGACTTTGACCTTGACCCTGACTTTGACCTTGACCCTATTGGCTTCCATATTATTTTTGTAAACAAAAACAAATGTTTTATGCAGCATGTTGTTCATGTTTTGTTAAATAAAATCTTTAGTGTGTTTCACCTGTATGGCTCCTGTGTGCTGGAGTTTGCTGTATTTCTAATTTGTGAGTCATAATGTTGATGTAAAGATCCATGCCTTAATGAGTACTATAATGACTGTGTTTGTGTGTGTGTGGGTTGATTGATTGATGGATTGAGCAAATGAGCGATTGTGCTCATTGGTTATTTTAGCACAAAACAAATGTTAAATTTTTACTTGAATATTTTCAGCTGTAATTTGAATATTCATACATCTCTTACAAATAATGAAATCATGCAGTAATCATGCTCATGCTGTTGATTATCTCATGCTGCTGTATTCATTCATACCCATCTGTTCACCACATACTTATGTTCAGGCTGCTGTTGTTGTGCCATGTTGTTTTACATTATTAGTGTTTTGAGTATATCTTAGATCTTTTATATTTTATTTTAGATCATCTTGATGGGGCAGAGGCAGGTCAGCCGACTCGGGACCCTAAAGTCCCAGGTTCAATCCCCAGCCATTCCCACATGTCGTGGTGTCCCTGAGCAAGACACCCAATCCCCAATGGCTGCCCAGGCACCCACATAGCTGCCCACTGCCCCACCTGGGTGCATCCTAGGTGCAATGGGTTAAATGCAGAGACTAATTTTGCCATTATATGGGAACATACAATGATGACAACACAAAGCAGTTATTATTATTATTTTAGCATATGTGCAGCACAGTGGTGCAACTGGTAGAGCTGCTGTCTCTCAGCGAGTAGGTTACCCTGGTTCAAATCCCAGTCCAGGGGCCTTTCTGGGTGGAGTTTGCATGTTCTCTCCTTGCATGTGTGGGTTTTCGTCGGGCACACCAGCTTCCTCCCTCAGACCAAAAACATGCATGTTAAGCTGATTGGTAACTACATTGTCCCTAGGTGCGAGTGAGAGAGTTTGTTTGTCTAGTTTGTCTCTATGTGGCCCCATGATGAACTTGTGACCTGTTCAGGATGTCCCCACATCTCGCGCAGTTATGGCTGGACATGGGCACCGGCGACCCCCGAGACCCAAAAAAGGAAGAAGCGGGTAAAATTAATGGATGGATTTTAGCATACCGTTTGGCATTCATTTAGTATATATCTTAGTATATATATATATATATATATATATATATATATATATATATATATATCTTAGATCCTTATATACTGTTTCTTTTTATACTTTATATTTTTACTATTTTTGGCTGTAACTGGGACCCCTGAGTACATAATTTCATTCCACCTCCTGTACCACATGTGATGTGAATGACAATAAATATCCTGATGCATGCTCAATAATCCAGGGAGAAAAATCTAAAAAAGTTAAGTCTGGTCCTTTCTACAATTTTTTTGTTTTTTGAACCCATCCAGAGTACCAGACTTAACTTTTTTGGATTGACAATATACTTGAACTTATAGAATTGTTTTCCCTCCACTTCCTGTTTCCCAGAGTCTCCCATCAGTCAGATGAGGCCACCTCATGGCAGCGTGACACCTCAGAAGAACAGCAACCTACTGGTCATCATTGTGGTTTCCCTGGGAGCCATCACCGTAGTGGTGGTCGTCATTGTGGCACTCATCTGCACCCGCCGCTCCTCCGCCCAGCAGAGGAAGTAAGGCGTCTTTCTCTCTGCGGGACAACAGGAAACGGTTGTTGTTGTTTCAGGGATGCACTGTCCCGGTAGTCTTTGTTAATTGCTCGGTAAATCTGATGTTCTTTTGTTTGGTTTTTTTTTCAGGAAGAGGGCAAGCCACAATGCCAGTAAAAGGAAAGGCAGCCAGAAGGAGCTGCGGCCACCAGACTTGTGGATCCACCACGAGGAGATGGAGATGAAGAATATGGAGAAGGCTCCGACTGTGGCTCCGTCTGGACATGACTCACCCATCAAGTCCTGCCAGGACCTGCCCCAGGTAGCTCACAGCCAATCAGAGAGCCAGATGGGCAGCAAGAGCAGTCACTCAGGTATGGATCGGTTCTTCTCAGGAATATTTCTGGTCTAATGGAGGTGTTTTGAGTTTAATTTAGCCGCTCTTTGTCCAATTTTAGATAATATTTACATTATTTTAGCATTAAATAATTTAGGATTTAAGCTACCATTGTGGTAACTTAAATGTGTAGATTCCATTTAGCGAATTTTAGCGTTTAGCTGCGGTTAAGATCCTTATTTCTTTTTTGTGGCCATTTTTTCACTTGTAACATTTCCATATGCTGGTGAAGATTCTCAGTCATCCAGGACATGATGAATTCAAAAAGCGTTCAATACAAAAACAACTGGACTTTATTTGTAACAGAAGACGTTTCACTACTCATCCGAGGAGCTTTCTCAATTCAAAGAGCAGAGAGTGAGAGATTCAGGTTATATCAGGTTATCTCACTCAGCCTTATAACCTGAATCTCTCACTCTCTGCTCTTTGAATTGAGAAAGCTCCTCGGATGAGGAGCGAAACGTCTTCTGTTACAAATAAAGTCCAGTTATTTTTGTATTGAACGCTTTTTGAATTTAACATTTCCATCTATTCATCCATCCATCCATTATCTTCCGCTTATTTTGAAGCTGGGTCACAGGGGCAGCAGTTTGAGCAGGGAGGCCAAGACATCTCTTTCCACAGCCACCTCTTCCAGCTCTTCTGGGAGAATTACAAGGCATTCCCAGGCCAATCGAGAGACACAGTCTCTCCAGCGTGTCCTGGGTCTTCCCTGGGGTCTTCTCCCAGTTGGACATGCCCGAAGCACTTCTCTAGGGAGGCGCCCAGGGGGCATCCTTATCCGATGCCTGAACCACCTCAACTGGCTCCTCTCAACGTGGAGGAGTAGCGGTTCTACTCCGAGTCTCTCTCAAGTAACTGAACTTCTTACCCTATCTCTAAGGGAGAGTCCAGATACCTTGCGGAGAAAACTCATTTCAACCGCCTATATCTGCAATCTCATTCTTTCGGACACTACCCAGAGCTCATGACCATAGGTGAGGGTAGGAACGTAGACTGACCGGTAAACAGAGAGCTTTGCCTTACAGCTCAGCTCTCTCTTCACCACAATGGACCAGTACAGAGTCCGCAATACTGCAGATGCTGCACCAATCCATCTGTCAATCTCACGCTCCATTATTCCCTCACTCGTGAACAAAACCACGAGATAGTTGAACTCATCCACTTGAGGCAGGACTTCACCCTCGACCTGAAGAGAGCAATCCACCCTTTACTGGTTGAGGACCATGGCCTCAGATTTGGAGGTGCTGATTCTCATCCCAGCCGCTTCACACTCGGCTGTTAACCGCTCCAGTGAGAGCTGAAGATCATGGCACGATGACGCCAACCGGACCACATCATTTGCAAAGAGCAGAGATACAATCCTGAGGCCACGAAAACCCTCTGCCAGCTGGCTGCTCCGAGAAATTCTGTCTATAAAAGTTATGAACAGAATCGGTGACAATGGGCAGCCCTGGAGGAGTCCAACTCCCACCCTGAAGGGGTCCTACTTACTGCCGACAATGCGAACCAAACTCTCGCACCTCTCGTATAGGGATTGAAAAGCCCGTAACAACAGGCCTCTAATCCCATACTCACGGAGCACCCTCCACAGTGTACCCTGAGGAACACGGTCAAATGCCTTCTCCAAGTCCACAAAACACATGTAGACTGGATGGGCAAACTCCCATGGCCCCTCAAGGACCCTAGTGAGGGTAAAGAGCTGATCCAGTGTTCCACGGCCAGGACAGAACCCATATTGTTCCTCTTGGATCCGAGGTTCGACCAACTATCGGACTCGCTTCTCCAGTACCCCTGAATAGACCTTACTAGGGAGGCTAAGGAGAGTGATAACCCTATAATTGGAGCACACCCTCCGGTCCCCATTTCTGAAAAGGGGAACCACCACACCAGTCTGCAAGTCCAGTGCACTGCCCCCAATGTCCATGCAACGTTGCAAAGGCATCAGCCAAAACAGCCCCACAACATCCACAGCCTTAAGGAAATCAGGGTGAATCTCATCCACTCCTGGTGTCCTGCCGCCTCTGAGCTTTTTCACTACATTGGCGACCTCAGCCACAGTTATGGACGGATCAACCACAAAATCCCCCGACTCAGCTTCCTCCATGGAAGATGTGCTGGTGAGACTGAGAAAGTCCAAGAAGTATTCCTTCCACCTCCCGACGACATCACTGGTTGAGGTCAACAGCACCCCAGCTTCACTGAACACAGTGTTAGTAAAGTGCTGCTTTTCCCTCCTCAGCCACCTGATGGTTTGCCAGAATCTCCTCGGAGCCGACCGAGAGTCTCTATACAAAGTTTCACCGAACTCCTCCCACATCCGAGCTTTTGCCTCAGCAACAGCCAAGGCTGCCCACCGTTTGACCCTTTGGTACTCCTCAGCTGCCTTCAGAGTCCCACTGGCCAACAAGGCCCGATAGGACTCCTTCTTCATCTTGACAGCCTCCCTAACCCGGGGTGTCCACCACCGAGTTCGTGGATGACCACTGCGAGAAGCACCGACATCCTTACGGCCACAGCTCAAGGCAGCTACCTCAACAAGAGAGGCGCGGGCCATGGCCCACTCGGACTCAATGTCATTTGTAACATTTATCTATCATGTTGCTACTTGCAGCTTTTAGCTGTTATTTAGCTGTATTGATCTTTTATGAACTTTAAGCTTTTATTTGTACTTTCAGCTTTTAGTTACTATTTGGAAAATGTAACTTGTAGCAACCATTTTTGAGCTCTTAGCTTTTAATGATTGCTCAATATCTTAGCTATGGTTTTACTAATTTTAACTTATAGCTAAAGTTTTGTAAACTTTAGCGTTTAACTACAGTTTGATAGTTTTGGTTTCTTGTAACCGTTTTACTTCAAGCTTCTAACTATCATTGTAGTAATTTAGCTTAGCTATCATTTCACTCATTTTAGCTTTTAGCTACCGTATTGTTACTTTCAGATGTTAGCTGTGATTTTGCTACTTTTAGCTATAATTTAGCTAATTTTACCATTGAGCTACCATTTTTTATGTTTGGCTGCAGTTAAACAAATTTTAGCTGTAAGGTAGGATTTTACCCGCATTTTTCACTGAAAATGTTGGATTGTATACCTGGATTATTGAGCATGGACATTGTTGTTTACCCGCTTAGCTTTTAGTTATTGTTTTGTTAATTTTGGCTTTTCATGACCATTTAGCAATGTTATCTTTTAGCTACCATTTTCATTCAATCTTTATACAGGTTAGTCTCATTGAGTTACGAGGACTCATTTATAAGAGAGACCTGTTTTAAACAAAAAACACAAATGAGATACACACAACAATAAAATTCATATAAAAGCATATAAAATGAAAAGTACATAAAATAGGTGATATAAAACCAAATAAAAAGCATGCTACATTTAAAATGGTGTAAAATACTAAAACAGGATCATTTAGCTACTCTTAGCATATAGCTGACATTTTGTTAACTTTAGCTTAAGCTGTTGCTTTTTTTATGTTTTTACATTTAGCTATGGTTTTGCTAATTTTAGCTTTTAGCTGCAGTTTTGAATATTTTGGTTTGTTTTGACAATTTTATTACTTGTAGCTTTTTTGCTTTACTACTTCTAGATTTTAGCTACCATTTTCTTAATTTTAAGTTTATGCGACAGTTCCAACTATTTTTAGCTTTTAGCTATGGATTTTTCAAATTAATTTATAGTTTCTGTTTTGATATTTTTGGCTTTTCATGGTCATTTAGCAACTGATGTGTTTTAGCTACCATTTTGTTTATATTAGCATGTAGCTACGTTTTGTCAGATTTTGGCCTTTAGCTAACTTTAGCTTCTCTCCTGCCTGATCCAGCAGTTCTCTTTATGTATTTTTCATTTGAACTTGTGTCTAGGTGTCCCCTCCATCTCAGTGGATGTCTGTTTGAACATCCCTTTCAAAATAAATCTTTTCAAGACTCGTTTCTGTCATTTGAGTCTAAAACTTGAAAGCTAATGGGCTGTTCGTGCTTTTTGACCAGTCTGCTCTTTACATTATGTCCCTAAAATGTTTTGCTCATTGGTGACGTGGCCGAACATTGTGGTGTTTCAGAAGCCGATGCCGATGAGGCATCCAGCGGGATCTCCACATTGGACCGCTCGCTTGCCACCTGCAGGGGGACACGCAGCAAAATGATGATTCCAATGGACTCTCAGCCGAGCAACACACGTAAGTAACCAAACGGGCTTGGTTTAGGCCTTCAGGCATTATCTGCATTTTAAATGCACGTTGTAGGCAGGATGTAAACTAGACCCACAGCTCCAAGGTCAAAAATCAAGGTCAAAGTTAAAACAAAGTCTGTCCATAACTTCTGATCCGCTCAAGATCATTTAAAGAAACTTGATCCACTTATGCATCATCACCAGAGGGAATGTTGCCAACACTTTCCATCCCCGCCCCAGCTTCAAGTTCACAGTCACAAATCAAGGTCAAAATAAGATCCAATTATTGCTGTAGATAGCTGTCCAACAGTTTGTCAATGGGTGTCCAATATGCCAGATGCTGTCATCTCGTGGGGTTTTTATACACCGGTCCTAAAAGAGGACATATTGTAGTATGGTGCTGTCCATACATCCATTTGTACATGTGTGGACAGTGTCCTGTCCGAGTTTTCTTATTGTCTCAGATTTAAGGGAATCAGAGCAGTTTGTGGGTCAAGGTTGAATAATTTTGGTTTTAGCTGCTCGTGACTCTTTAACCAATCAGATTGGGGTGTTCAACCCTGGTGGGTTTTAGTTTATTTTCCTTTGGCTGTTTTTAAATACTCGCTCATAATGTTTAGGAAAATGAACATCTTGGACTGGCTTCCAGTGTTTCCAGAGTCCTGTTTTCATTTGTCTAAAACCTAAATCCTCATGTCTGATCTGAATGTTATGTTATGTTGTTTATTTGTTATATGCAGGTTAACACAAGGTTACCAATACAATGAAATGTTCATGAGAAGAACCGATTTGACTCACTACAAACAAAGAACGAAGAAACAAGAAGTACAGTCCAAAAAAGTTCAATCTGGTCCTCTGGACATTCAAAAAAATATAGAAATGTTTCATCTCTCATCCGAGAGACTTCCTCAGTCTGAGGTGCTGTATTCAGCTCAGTCTCTTAAATAGCACCTTCTCAGAGTGGATCAACCAGTTTTGCTGCTGACAACCAAAACCAGCTGCTCACATGGTCAAGAAGGACCATCAGCCTAACAATGGATCATTAGCACCTGATGGCTGTTTACTGTTCACAGAGGGCTGAGTGATACTAGCAATCACAGCATTGTAAGAGGGGGACAGTTGAACCCGGAGGCCTCCACTCCTGTTTAATGATGGACGATTTCTTTTCACAAAGATGGCCTCCTTTACTCCTCTCTCAAACCAT